TGGGAGAGTGGGAGGAAGGGTGAAAGGTGGAGTGGGGGTGCAGGAGCTGGGGTCAGAGCTGAGAGGGAGGGGCAGGGGTAGTCCCTGGCACAGAGATGGAGAGGGTGGAGAGCCTCAGGCACTCAGGTTGTCTTCAGGTGAGGTGGTGGTGGGCGGGGGAAACAGAGAGAACCCAAGGACAGGAGGGGCTCTGCCTCCATGGGCGGGATCTGCCAGGTCCACAGAGGAAGGAGGAGTGAGCCAGAACAAAAACAGCACAGAAGGAGGCAGGCAGGCAGGGATGGAGGGAGGACAATCCTCAGGGCCTCAAAGCCAAGGGCTTTTGGTGGGAGGGATGAGAGCTGTGTTGGGGACCCTCCAGAGGCAGCAGGAGAATGTGGCTGATGCACTATGTTTCCCCAGGAGGAGAGGCAGGGGTCGGGGCAGGGGGAAGGGAGGAAGAGGCTGGGAAGGGTGGGCAGGCATTGGAAACCACACAGCCATGTGGCAGCCACGCAGAAGGGAGCCTGACTGGGAGTCTCAGAACGGCCAGAACCCAGGCAGCCGCTGCAGTCACGGAAAAGACGGAGGCAGGGGATGGAGAGACCACGGAGATCACGAAGCTTGTCCCCAGGTGCTGCTGCAAAGGGCACCTGCAGCAGGGACACCCCACCCCAGGAATGGTGGCAAGGGATAAAGAAGGAATTACATGCACGGGAGTGCTCCAGAGAGAGAGAGAGAGAGATTGAATATGTGCATGTGTGCACGCACATGCACACACCCTCTGCAAGGGCTGGCACTCTCTCAGCAGCACTCCCAAGGAGTACAGGAGACTTGGGGTCCCCAGACTGCAGCCAGCCAGTGTGGGGATCCTATTGACTTCACATCATAGATCCAGCAGACCTAGACTGGAGGGAATGAGCATGTTTTGGCAAAACACAGGCCTCAAAAGATGTAGAGGTGAGACAGACAACAAATATGAAAAGAACCAATCTCTCTCTCTCTCTTTCTCCTTCCCATTCTCTTTCACATCCATACCCTGAACCCGGAGAGAAAGGGAGCTTATGTAGGCCTCAGGCTGGTCTCTCCTTTCTGGCCTCACTGCTTGATGGGGACCCTCCCCCTTCCCCATGAAGTCAGATCAAGGACCCTCCCAGACAGGGGATTTACCATCCTCTAGATCAGCACTTCTCAACCTGTGGGTTGCGACCCCTTTGGGGGTCCAATGACCCTTTCACAAGGGTCGCCCAATTCATAACAGTAGGAAAATGACAGTTATGAAGTAACAACGAAAATAATGTTATGGTTGGGGGCGGGTCACCACAACATGAGGAACTGTAGTGCCACAGATACAGATGGCCTTGCAAGGCCTTATAAAAAAGGGATATGCTTCCCACAAAAGCCTGGGCCACTGCTCTGCCGATCCAAGCCACCCACAGGTCACAGTTTTCCATGAATGCAGCCCACTAGCTGCCAGCTGAGCTCACACACCCCACCTGGTGCGGCGTTTCCCTGCCAAGGGACTGCAAGACCCAGGAGGGCTCCACAGGGACCCTGGTTCCATTTCTCAGCATCAGCACAGCCCTAAAGCACAGTCTTGGGGACAAGCACAAGCAACTGAGCATTCAGGTCTAGGTCACAAGGCTCCTTGGGAATGAGGACACAGATGGTAAGGACACTTCTGCTGAACAGA